GAAGGAGCAACGAGGGAACTACGAGGAAACACTGAGGGAGCAACGAGGGAACAAAGAGGAAACAACGAAGGACCAACGAGGGAACTACGAGGAAACACTGAGGAAATACTGAGGGAGCAACGAGGGAACAACGAGAAAACAACGAAGGAACAACGAGGGAACTACTGAGGGAGCAACGAGGGAACAAAGAGGAAACACTGAGGGAACAACAAGGAAACAACAAGGGAGCTACGAGGGAACTACGAGGAAATACTGAGGGAGCAACAAGGGAACAAAGAGGAAACAGCAAAGGAACAACAAGGGAACAACGAGGAAACAACAAAGGAAACAACGAGGGAACTACGAGGAAACACTGAGGAAATACTGAGGGAGCAACGAGGGAACAAAGAGGAAACAACGAAGGAACAACGAGGGAACTACGAGGGAACAAAGAGGAAATACTGAGGGAACAACAAGGAAACAACGAGGGAACTACGAGGGAACTACGAGGAAACACTGGGGAATCATAGAGCAAACAACGAGGGAACAACAAGGAAACATCAAGGAAACAATGAGGAAACAACAAGGGAACAACTACGAAATACTGAGGAAACAACAAGGAAACAATAAGGAATCATAGAAGAAACACTGAGGGAAGAACAGGGGAACTAGGAGGAAATACTAAGGGAAAAACAAGGGAACAACAAGGGAACTACGAGGGAACAACAAGGAAACAACGAGGGAATAATGAGGAAACAACAAGGAAACAACAAGGGAACAGTGAGGAAACAACAAGGGAACAATGTGGAAATACTGAGGAAACAACGAGGAATCATAGAGAAAACATCGAGGAAACAACAAGGAAACAACAAGAAGACAATGAGGAATCATCGAGGAACCAACGAGGGAACAACAAGGAAACAACGAAGGAACAACGAGGGAACTACGAGGAAACACTGAGGGAGCAAAGAGGGAACAACGTGGAAATACTAAGGAAACACTGAGGAATCATAGAGAAAACATCGAGGAAACAACAAGGGAACAGTGAGGAAACAACAAGGGAACAACGAGGAAATACTGAGGAAACAATGAGGGTATTACAAGGAAACACTGAGGAATTAACAAGCAAACAACGAGTAAATAATGAGGGAACTACGATGAAACACTGAGGAAACACTGAGGAACCATGGAGGAAACAACAAGGAAACAACAAGGAAACAACAAGGAAACAACGAAGGAACAACAAGGGAACAACGAGGAAATACTGAGGAAACAATGAGGGTATTACAAGGAAACACTGAGGAATTAACAAGCAAACAACGAGTAAATAATGAGGGAACTACGATGAAATACTGAGGAAACACTGAGGAACCATCGAGGAAACAACAAGGACACAACAAGGAAACAACGAAGGAACAACGAGGGAACTACGATGAAATACTGAGGAAACACTGAGGAACCATCGAGGAAACAACAAGGACACAACAAGGAAACAACGAAGGAACAACGAGGGAACTACGAGGAAACACTGAGGAAACACTGAGGAACCATCGAGGAAACAACAAGGAAACAACAAGTGAACAATGAGGAAATACTGAGGGAACTACACAGACTGGGCTTCCTTGTTTCCTTAACACTCGTTTTGAACCTTCAGACACTGACAGACTGATCGGACCTCTAACAGTATTTCGGACTCACTGCTGTCGTAGATCGGCTCCGACACCACGGGCTCCAGACGTCTGGAGAAACCGCCGTCGCTGTCAGGAAGGAATGCTGTGAACATGAGGCGGACCACACTCAGGTCCATTTCCTTCGCCTGGAGAGCCGCCACCGAGCTCATCAGGCTGCGCTGGTGATCTGAGGGGGCGGGGGGCGAAGAGACGGGGAGGTTAGATTTAAACCAATCACAGCAGAGAAGCTAGAAAAACAGTTTATACAAGGACAACGTAAAGAGCAGGAGAAATGAAGACGTGAAAAAAGATCTGTGTCTGTGCAGGTGGACGTGTCTCCAGGTCATGGTGATCCAAGTCTTTGATGAGAGGACAGCTTGACTGTTGGAGGTTCCTGAAGACGTTCCTCTTCTTCAGGTCTAAAGTGACTCGGACCAAACGGACCACCACGGTCTTCAGTATCCTCACATTGTTGTTCTCAAATTCCCACTCAGCTCCATCTTCTTCTGAGGTAAACAGAACAAACCATCGGACCTCGAGTGTCTGAACTAGAGACTGTATATATAATCGCCAACGTGGCTCCGCCTCCTGTCGTTGTAGTTCGGGGATTTTCTCCACGTCCTGAAACCGTTTTTTGTTTCAGCGAGAGAGTCTCTGTGATGACGCTCGGCTCAAACAGCGTATCCCCCGGTGATCTACTCCATCTCTGTCCTCCCATAGGCTGTATCAGGTGTCAATCATAGAAAACATGAACCCCCTAATAACTTTTAAAAATGGAGCTGTACAGAAAAAAGAGGACTTGAGCACAAACCAGTCTGACAGTTACTACATGTCAACATCACAACCAGGGGGGAGAAACATTTATATTCTGTGTCATTCATTTATAAAGTTTGTCCACAGCTCCATAAGGAGGCGGGGTTTAGGACCTATACTGCAGCCCGTCACCAGAGGGCGCTGTTCTCAGAGAGAGGAGGAGGCAGACGGCGTCTATTCTAGAGACAGTCTACAGTCCTCCCATGGATATCCTGATCACACACACACACACACACACACACACACACACACACACACACACACACACACACTCACACTCTTAGGTCTGACACTGACCTGTGAGGTCCCTCGGGACCCGGACTTCCCCCTGTAGGGCGTCGATCTCAGGGTGGATGGAGACCCCACAGTTGTGTCCCATCCTGAAGGCCTCCACCATCCTCTCCTCCAGAGTCTTCGCCACGTTCTTCTTGGTCACATGGAGGATGCCCAGGTTTGGAAAGCTGAGGAGACACACAAACACACACACACACACCTGTGAGCGGGTCACCTGAGTGGACAGGTGGGTCCAGGATCAGCTGTGCTGGTTCAGACCTGATGGTGGAGTCTTTGGGCTGCAGGTCGGCCACACATATCCCTTTATCACACTGTTTCCCCACCAGACTGTGAGCGTGCAGCTGAGGGGGCGCCGTCAACGCCGTCACCAACTGGACCACCACACGGGCCGGACCCTGGTAGTTAGTGATCTGTTTGAACGAGGGGGGAGAGAGAGTGGGGGGGGGAGAGAGGGAGAGAGAGAGAGAGAGAGAGAGAGAGAGAGAGAGAGAGAGAGAGAGAGAGAGAGAGAGAGAGAGAGAGAGAGAGAGAGAGAGAGAGAGAGAGAGAGAGAGAGGGAGAGGGAGAGAGGGAGGGAGAGAGGGGGAGAGAGAGAGAGAGAGGGAGAGAGGGAGGGAGCGAGAGAGAGAGATGGAGGGAGAGAGAGAGAGAGGGAGGGGGAGAGAGAGAGAGAGAGGGAGAGAGAGAGAGGGAGAGAGAGAGAGAGAGAAGGAGAGGGAGGGGAGAGAGAGGGAGAGAGAGAGAGAGAGAGAGAGAGGGAGAGATCAATCCTGAATGGAGTCATTAATAATATTGATTTCAGATTCTCTCCTCTGGTATCAAACTTTTTTTATTGAAACTGATCAGAGTCTGCTGAATCCAAACATGTTAGAACAGGATTAAATCATATGATATCATGTTAGAACAGGATTAAATCATATGATATCATGTTAGAACAGGATTAAATCACATGATATCATGTTAGAACAGGATTAAATCATATTTCTGTTGTTTTGAATGACAGTGTCTGAATTTAAAGGACCATTTCACACTTTCAGACGCAACATTCTGAGCAAGACTGAAGATCACAGAGAGAATCCTGGTCCTCACAGGTCCAACAAGATGAGGAGGGGGTTACACAACACTACCATAACACACACACACACACACACACACACACACACACACACACACACACACACACACACACACACAGGAAGTCGTACCTTGACTGTCGGGTATGTCTTCCTGTTCTTCTCACTCGAGGCTCCAGGCAGACCGCCATGAGACGGACCCTCACAACCGTACCTGAACCTGAAACCACGCTGAAACAGAGAGGAGGAGGTGAGGAGGAGGAGAGGAGGAGGTGAAGAGGAGGAGGTGAAGAGGAGGAGGTGAAGGAGAGGAGAGGAGGTGAGGAGGAGGAGGGTGGGGGATGAAGAGGAGGAGGTGGAGGTGAAGAGTCTCACCTGTTTTGGTTGCTCTATAATCTGCAGGAAGGGTCCATCAACTGAAAACAGAAACAGAAACAGACCAACAGAGAAAACAGTCAGTAAACGGCCAGTAAACTCTCTAAACAGTCAGTAAACAGTCAGTAAACAGTCAGTAAACAGTCAGTAAACTCTCTAAACAGTCAGTAAACAGTCAGTAAACAGTCAGTAAACAGCCAGTAAACTCTCTAAACAGTCAGTAAACAGTCAGTAAACTCTCTAAACAGTCAGTAAACAGTCAGTAAACAGTCAGTAAACAGCCAGTAAACTCTCTAAACAGTCAGTAAACAGTCAGTAAACTCTCTAAACAGTCAGTAAACAGTCAGTAAACAGTCAGTAAACAGCCAGTAAACTCTCTCGACAGTCAGTAAACAGTCAGTAAACTCTCTCAACAGTCAGTAAACAGTCAGTAAACTCTCTCAACAGTCAGTAAACAGCCAGTAAACAGTCAGTAAACAGCCAGTAAACTCTCTAAACAGTCAGTAAACAGTCAGTAAACAGCCAGTAAACCAGCACTGACACACTGAGGATTTTTGTGAACCTGATTTTTTCCTCAGTATTTACCGTCTGTTTTTATAAAAACTCCAGCTGGTTGGACAAATATCGTAAAGTTTGTTTGTCTGCTGCTGTCGTTGGTCTTAATTTAAAGATGTTTTTATTTAAATAAACAATAATAAACAACAACAATAATGTTGTGATTCCAGCCAATCAGCTGACCCGTTCATTGATTATTACCCCCCACTAAAGAAAACCCAGAATCACAGACAGAATCAGA